TATCTGATAACGGGGACCTTGTGTATAATTTCATCTTTGAAGTACCTCAGAGAGCATGTCATTCATTGCACACCGTTTTCAATTAATGCCCTTTCGTATATTGAGATTTATAGCCAGTCACGTGCCAGAAGAGTTTTAGCTCTAATCAGAGTTATCAGTGCAAGATGCCAAAGTGCTTGGGATATTATGACAATGCAATAACGTAGCAAATGCTGCTCGTGGAGCCAAATGCAAACCACAAAAATAGGAACACTTTGTCCTGCAAAGGAGACCCACCTTGAGCATCTTTTCAGTTCTCACATTAAACAAAAAAAACAAACAAAACCCCACCCAAAACAGGATTAAATATTATTCAAATAATTGGTAATTAGCTATTGCCCAAATCTTAATTAAGGGACATAATTAATTAAATATCTTTTAAAGCTTTCAGAGAAAGTTTGCTTTTATGACATAGGAAAAAAAATCTCAAGAAAATCAGTCACTGATTATTTTGGAGGGGGAACTTCTAATTACATAGGTTATTAGAATACTCAAGTCAGCTTTAGCTATACACTAAGGGTGTGGGTTTTTTTTTAATTTGCATTCATTCTTCTATTCTCAAAGGAAAAAGTAGGCTTATCAACAACAACATCACTTGGAGGAGTAAGTGTTTTAAAAATACACTAAAGTAGGGACAGACAACCAGTATTTGGTATGTACTTAACTAAAGGGGCGTTAACGCAGAGGGATGGTGTGGTATGAATGACATTGTAGGTGTGTTACCAACAGGTATCAATACACACACCAAAAAGTTTTGGAATAAGCTTTCAAGGAGCAATTTTTGTTGTTGTTTTTAAATCATAAAGAGCTCCCCTATGGTTCCATAAGGGCTCTACTACCACAGCTTCAGAAACCACCTGAAAACTTTAAGAAAAACCTGCTCCTCCCTCCCCTCACACAAGTATTTGCAAACTTCTAATTCTGGATAGGACTGAGAAGTGCTACAGAAGTATATAAAACCTCATGTTTGCATTGATGTTTTTTAGCCTAATTTCATTGATAAAATCAGGATATTTACTATAGTATTGCGTAATTTATTTAAGTCTATTCTTACAAGCTATCTCAACTTTTTAACTGTAACATCTGAGGGCAGAGAGCTGAGTACTGGACACAGCAAATGACCAGTTTGTGAGGATACTGCAAGTAACTTCCAATTGCTGAAGTCTGCCAGGTGTAATTTTAACTACTGGACACATGAAGATTAGCTTTGGAAAATGAATTATAAGATGGAAGACAGAATTCAAGCTCAATATGACTGACTTGGGTGAGGTTTTGGATGCTTCTCTGGATGCAAGGAGAACATTTAAACCATACTACAATATTAGCCTTAATGGGACAGTACGTTTAGACCACCTAGACCTTAGGCTCTTCGTGTGGTCAAAGGGAATTTACTATTTTAAGCATAATGGGAAAAAAAAAAAACCCCAAACCACACAACATGATACCAATGGCATTGAGACTACACAAGCCACTAAACAGTGGCTCAAATGAATCCACTCAATGAATGCTCTTGGGTATGGGCGCTCCTCGTTATGCATCACTGGCTGATACCGATGCCACTGCAGAGTTTTTTGGATATAAAACAGGAATACAAGAGAGTTCCTCACTTTTTATCAAAAGGATAACTGAAGACAGAAGTTACAATATCCAAGGGGTGAAAGAACAGCAAAACACACTATGAGCCTGCTCCAGCTACAGCTGATGTTTGTAGGAATCTGCTCTCTTTAGGGGGAATGCATCAGGCTCTACGTGCACTGGAAAAATAATGTTCATTTATAATTGCTGTTATCAAACCGCAGAGTAGAAGCTGTTTAGCTGGCAGTAACAGAAGCCATATCCAAAATACATTATTTAAGATATTAATTAGTTGTCTGGAAATGCCTCTAAATACACAGTATGTACGCCTATTTCTTTGTAACTATAAGCCTTTGTAAAAATTTCAGTCTCTTTTTTCTTAAAAAAAAAGTAAATCAGTAAGATAGTAAGATCATAACTAGTTTGTAACCCTGAACTGTGCAGAGGATATGAAAGTGAAACAATTGACACTAACCTTTCACTCCAGCCAAAAGCATTCAAATTAAGTGTTCTTCCATTTCAAACATTTAACTCATTAATCAGGAGCAGCCCATGCTACTTTGATATCATTGTTTAACTGAACAAAACCCAAGTTTTATAAAAACAGAATGAGAAGTATGCAAGAAATTCCAAAAGAAGTATCACAAAGATGATGATCATTAAATACTATATAGCCAAAGTAAATTGCAAGTGAACTCTCTTGTATCCCTGCACATCCAAAATGTTTCAAAGACTGATATGCTGAAATATTCATAGCAAGTTAACTTTTCCCCCCAAATTAAGAATTAAAATTGGCATACCAGGGTACACTGGTCTGTCAAATATAACAAAGGTGTTTGTCCATATGTTTTCCTTATGATAAGACAACTTTGTAATGCTGCAGTCACCAAAACCTTGCTTTAACTCCAGGAGTACCACTTGTACTAAAGGCTAGTGATGATATAAAACCAGCAGGGATAACTTTATAGAAGATGTTTTAAATTCTTTGCTAAGAATCAAAATATTCATCTTGTTTGTGTACTTTTCCTCTTACCACCTTTGTGTTGCACATCAAGAAGAACTTAAGTACCTTCAGCTGCTCCCAACTGCTTTTGTGCAAAATGCTTTTAAGGTGCTTATAATGTGGTGCTTCTAAGCAAGCTAAAAGAAAATACCAATATAAACACTGTTAAATGATTCATGAATAAAGCCATTAAAGACCAGCTGCTACCTTACGGGAAAGCTGCAGACAATTCAAATTTGACATTTTAGTTGTTTTTCACACCTTGCATTACCCTCCATCATCAACAAAGTTTTTACTAGTACATTGCAACCCACATCATACCTTGACCTTGGGCTAAGGAAGTTTTATTTCCATCACTTTGGTTTTGGTATTTTTTTCTTCTTAGAATTAATTCAATTTCTTCTGGCAGTCATTTGTAAATTTACAAAAAAAAAAAATTATACCTACAGACTGTAGATAAGAGGTTTACAGGCATTCTTGCTGGCAAAGGTCTTCAGTAATGAAAAGAAGGATGAACCAGCTGCATAAGGGGTAGATTTTGTACTAAACAATAAGCTTTCCAGGAAGCAGTTGTGTTCTTTGATAAGCTTTCAAGCACTTCAAACAGGCACCTCAAAACTAGGCACAAATAGCCCCTAAAGCTTCCAACATCTATCAAACACTCAAGAAATTTAGTATGGGGTATGTTCTGCATGATACAAATAGCACACCTATGTTTGCTATATTTATTAAGTCTCAAATCTACATATATTCATACCTAACTATTTGGCCAGATAGTTTCCATCTTCCCCAACCACAACAAGAGAAAGTAGCTTATCTAATAGTACTTCCAATGCCACCAAGTACTTCACAGGTATAAGCAAAAAAACCAGCCAGCACCCTTCTCTGCCTTTTAAGATCTGAGTTACCACCACCAGTCTCAGCAGTTGGGCCAGAATTCTGAAAGCTTTTTTTCCTGTCTCAAAATGTTGAGTTCTGCTATACCAGGTGCCTTGTAACTACCAAAGCTATCTGAAACAGGAAATTCAATGATGGCAAATCAGCCTGAAATACATTTGAATTTTTGGTCATTTGGATTCTTTAACTGTTCACTCTAACAGTTAGTCACTAATATACTTAATTAAAATGCATATCATCCTACTATGACAGTACAGTTGCACTGCAGCGTCTACAACTTTTGAAAATACTTTTAAACTCATCGTCTCTGAAGGCATTAGTTCCCAGTCTACTAGCAGTTAGCACTAATTTTGAGTCAGAAAATCCCAAGATCATTCTAGCCCCGAAATTAATTTCCTCTCCATCACAGCATTTAGAAACAGCCAAGTCCTAACAACAAGACAGAGAGGATGAACGAGTGCTGGCAACAGGATATGGTCTGTAACTTGTCCATAACTGTGAAATCTCTCGGTCAGAAATCCCTTATCTGGGTACACTGCAAGGCTTATTTATTTTCCCAAGCTACCCCTACAGTTAGGCAAATAGAATTTTGCATTTATGTTCTGTAATATTTGTACATGCGGCGAGAGATTCAGATAGAAGCAACATTCTATAAAAATCAAATAAATAAAAAATAAAAATCCACGTGCCAAGTTTGTTATAATAAAGTGTCAGTTTGTCTTATATGCCAAATAAACTTAATATTGCATATATGCAGTGGAAATGACTGCTGAGGAAACAGTAACATAGGAATGGGGTAGACAATATAAATAACAATTATTGAATTGCAGGATGTTGTGTTAAAGCAGTACCAATGTTATTTGGATCCTTAATTTTGACAGTTTTGAGGCATACTTACTTTCTCCAGCTCAATGCAGGACAATACCATTTGTGGTAACAACTAGAAATGTCCATTTTCCTGGAAGAGGCCATTTGTTAACAAGCATTTCTTCTGGGTCACAAATGATCAAATTAAGTTTATGGGTAAAGTGCAGAATCTTACACATCCCTTTTGTTTGTATTTTCACATAAAATTACCAGTTAGTTACTGGCACCATGCAAACACAGACCTTCCAAATTATATGCTAATATATTTAGCACTGGCACAATACGTTAGTCAGCTTTTCATAACAGTAATGAACAAGTTAAATGAATTAGGTTCAATGAATTAAGTGCCCAAGTACAAAATTAAGAATGTGTCCTTCGCAATAGGGTCTAAAGGTATGAAGAAAACTTAAGACTGACACTTTATGTACAACTTGGTTATTGGCAACGGTCCCCTAAACCATTTTTTTTAAATGAACCCAGCAAAACTATACAGAATGTGGAAATAATATTTGCAACAGATCTCTTAAAGGACAGTGTAGAGAAGTTCATTATGGTGTACCTGATGTTTAAATTAATTTAACAGATACGGCTTGTAAAACAACACAGTATGAACCTGTGGATTTTTTTTTCTTTTTTTCTTTTTAAAAAAAGGACTTTTACAGAATTCAAGTAGTGTAGCAGGAAACCATAGATGCCTTTTGATCACAGGTCAGGCAAAACAGAGCCACTTGTTGGATTTTTTCCCCTTGCTTCTGTTTGCTAAGGTGTCCCAGTGGATCTACAAGTCTGTTGATGTTAACTTTTTCATGCTCCGTCGCTGAGCTAAACTTGAGGCTGCAACAGGCTCTAACACTGGCTGAAATGTCTTGTGATTCAGTGCAGAATATGTAGCAGCCATGGCTCCCTAGAGAACAACAAAATAGATAAAAGTATAAAATGATAAACATATAAAAGGCTGTAAAGGTCATTTTTATCAGAAAATAAAGCAATTGAATATTAAATTCTTAATTAACTATTAAAAAAAAACCCCTCCCCAAAACGCCAGGACTTAGGGCAGGTCATGCACATTCTCTAAAGTTTGTTTTGAAAAAAAACCATTAATTGCCAGATCTTTCAAGTTTCTAAGCACAAGTATCTGACATTTTTTTTCCTTTCCTGTGTACTTCTTTTCCATACCCGAGGTGTTGGAGTAACCTTTTAATGTGGGTCAGAATTAGTATCTTCCAAGCAACATCAGCATCAATTTACCAAATGCAGCCACTTATGTGGATATTCAAGTGCTGACTTATGAACACAACACAGTTAAGACTGATTATCACAGGTCCTTGTTTTTTTGAGTCCAACAAAACCAATGAAGTCAACTTGAAAGCTGTCTGCATACAGCAGAATGTTTTTGTGTTACAAATCAGAATCACAGATACAGAATGAACAGATGGAAAAACTGTAACATAGTTTATGAATTTATGTCAGGAAAGCACAATATGAGTCAGTTAGAAACAAATCCCAGATTTCTTGAATAAGAATGCTAGGAGAGCTGTGGAAGGCTCAGTCTCATATAACTGTCTTATCAGCTTTCCTATAGGGCAAATACCACCTTAATCTTTGAAAATGAAACACCCAGAACAATCTCTTCCTTTACACATGGATTAAAAAAACAATAGTTTAGCTGTAATTTTTCTGCTTATGTAACTTAAATGTATGTACTAGGGAAAACAAAAGCTAATTTATTTTCTAAAGAAAAAAATTAGTTCTGCCTGTAGCTCTAAAAGCAACCCAATTTATTTCACAACTCAAGCAAGGTTCAGTCTTCAAGTTGTTTTACCTTTACTAGATGTGGTGCATCTTGTCTATTTAACTGATAATGCGGCAACTGGTCCCTACAGGCTATCCACGAATGTTTTAATACTTGCTCTGCTGTATACCGCTGATGGGGATCTACATGAAGCATATGTGATAACAAGTCCTAGATAAAAATAAAAAACACACATATTATTTGGTTAAAATAATCTTATACAGATTTTAAAGCATTAATGATGGCAGCGATGAAAAGCATACCCTATGTGGCAGGGATTAACACAATGCAAACACACAAAAATCAGCAGATAAATTGGATCATTCTGTGCCTTGACACCGCAGCAGTCTGAAAACAATGTGTTGTACTATTTAATCAGTTTAACAGAGCAAGCCTTTATTGTAAAGAAACTTACTGTTGTTTGTGTGTTTCATATTTCAGTCTGACTATCAATAGAAACTTATTTAAAAGTCTAGAAATTCTATTCAACTTTAGCAGACAGATTTTATGGAAAAAAGCTATTATTTGCAAACATTCATAATACACATTTGGGGTCTGCTGACTACATATTACAATGGAATTTATATGTAGTGATATATTACCAAAGGATTTTTCCTTCAAGAGCTATATATAAAAAGTAAAGCCAACAGAAATGGACACTTGTTTTTGCCTGCTTAGAAGCATTAGCAATAAGCTACTAATTACAACGTTGGTCAAAAGAAGAGCTGGGTGGGAACAGCACAGAAGAGAGACAGGAATAGAAAACAAAATACGAACAAGCTAACAGAATGTTCCCTTTGTTTTAGGTACAAAATGATAAGCACTCTTAAATATACAGAAGTGAATTACTTGTGCTAAGGCACCATCAGCCAGCAAGTATTCTGAATCACTCCTACCAAAATGAACAAAAATTGCAGTTCCAAAGGATCAGGAAAAGATTTAATAGTCATGCCAAGCTTTATAACAGGTAACGCTGGTGACTAAGATAACTACAGACCAGGCCAAAACCAAACCCAGAGAACACATACAGCAACTGATGAGAGATGCAGTAGTGAAATGAAAAGGAGAGCTGCATAATCAAGTTGATCAAGAGTTTTGGCAAGATATCCAGATATATTTGGTTGTTCAAGCACTAGTTTAATTGCTGAAAGTACTAACAAAAACAAAAGACCTGACCAGCATTGAACAACTTTTAAAAAGTTGTACTACAAAAAAATTAACCTATGAATGCAAGACTGGTTAGCTACTAGAACTAACAGATAATTGTAAAAAGTCATCCTTCCATTAAGGAATCCCACAAATACCTGATTTTTGTCCAATAAAAACAAAGAATAAAAAAATACTGATGATTAGAAAAGTCTATATTGGGACTTAGAATCACAGGCTGGTTTGGGTTGGAAGGAACCTTAAAGCTCATCCAGTTCCAACCCCCCTGCCATGAGCAAGGACACCTTCCACTAGACCAGGTTGCTCAAATAAGCAATCTTTCAAATCTTTATCAATGACATGGGGGAAGGAAGAGAGTGCACCCTTGCTAGGTTTGCAGTGGGGCACCAAACTGGAGGTGTGGGGAAAGAACTATGAGTTCAAAAGCAGGGCAGCTGTCCAAAGGGACCTAGGCAGGATGGAGTAATGGGCTAACCAGAGCCATACAAAATTCAGCAAGAACACATGCAATGTCCTGCACTTGGAAAATAAGAAATTGTCACCAAGGTTCAGGGTGGGGCCTGACTGGCTGGGAAGGACCAGGAGGATCTGGCAGACAGCAAACTGAACCTGAACTACCAGTGTGACCTGGCATCCAAGAAACCGGACATTCCTTTAGTCAGCATGGCCAAAAGAATGGAGACAGAGGTCAAAGTAAAACAAGAAATGTTCTGGCTTGAAATTAGGAGAAGCTTTTTCCTCATTACAACAGCCAAGCATTGGGAAAAGCTGCCCAGGCAAGCTGTTCAGTCTCCACCCTTGGAAGCTTCTCAGGTCAGACTGAATGAAGCCCTGAGCTACCTGGTCAGATGTCACAGCTGACCCTGCTTTGAGCAGGAGGCTGGACTAGACAACCTTCACTGCAATAAAGTTTGCATGTAATAATAGCAAACTACTGTGGTAGACTAATGACTTTGTAAAGTTCAGTGGATGTTCATTTGAACTCTAGAAAAATACAACAACAAAACAAAACACTTCTACACCTTTGCTGCATCTGAAACAGTGTCCCAGTTGCCTCCACTCAAAGAGAATTTTCCACTGCCTATCCGTACCAGGATCTCCTCTGGAGTATCATTAGGACCATTGGCAAATGGAGTATAGCTGTTGAAAGAAAAGAAAAGAAAAAAACCACAAACACCTTGTTTTAGGTAAAAGTTGCAAGAAATCGTTAAAATCTCATTAATCAAAGTAGATATCCCACTGCTGACAGAAATACACTACATACACTATTAAATACTTCTTAGATTAGCATTCCATCTTTGAAACTATGTTGTTTTCTTTTCCCTGTAACTGTGGTAAATCAAATAGAATAAATGGGAAATGCAGACTAAAGAGATGACTTAAGTTAATCTCTTAATAATGCATTTTAATCAGTGCAGGCTTTCAGGTTAAATAAAAGTGATTCATAAACACAAATTACACTAGATTACCAGTGCATGTAAAGTAATCCACACCTGGAGCAGTACACTAACAGAATGACCCAATAAAGCTGGTGTAATATTGTGTTTAGGGTACGTGCATTTAATTAGACAGAGAATGAGCACAATGTACATAAATCTATAATTTGGGAAAAACCTACAAGAAAATTTTCATTATAGTTCTTTATTTAAGTGAGTTTGGGAGGCTTAAACCACAAGATAATTGGTTTTGGAGGCTTATAACAGTTTACAGAGTTTCCTGTAAATTTAGCTTACTTTCTACAAATCCTACTGTGACAAACTCAAGAAGAACTAAATTGGGAAATCTGAAACCCAATCTGAATCACTTAAATACACCTTTTAACAATGTCAAGAGTATGACTATGTCCTGGCATCTCCTTTGATCATAGGATAGTACCAAGTTAGTTTTAATCAGAGTAAGATTTTGGTTTTATAGTTAAGTAGTTACATCATAATACTCCTTAGATTTCATATTAGCTTGCAAACAATAATGATTAAGCTTAATGCATTCTATCGTAGGACTCTGAAAGCTCTGACTAGAAGATCAATCAGCATTATCAACAGAGGTTTGGAACTATCCCAGTCAGCAAGTTCTAGTCTTCCAGTTGATGAGCTTAAGAGGAAGAAAATTGAAAGACAGGAATTCATGTTGGACCATTCCTCCCTCATACTTCTGACCTGCCATACCTTTTGTTCAGACAATGAGTCTTTGGCATCCCCCAGTCATGCACTAGAGAAGACAAAAGCCTTGAATCTGCCTGTATGATAAGTCTAGTTTATGTATGCATTCACTTACAGGTTCCTGCTCGACTTCAGTGCCTCTGACATTCTGCATTCAAATCAGTGAGGCAATACCTTACAATTTTAGCAAAAACATGAATTCATGCAGCACGCTGGAACTTCAGGTAAACAAAAAAAAGCTAAGAAATACTTCTCACCCTGCCAACATTGTGTAGAGAAGAACACCCAAGCTCCATATGTCACAAGCAGCATCGTATCCCTGTCTCATGAGAACCTACAAAACAAAGAATGTTCAAGACTTTTTGTGTATTAAAAAAGCACCCCAAACCAATAACACTACACAGCCTAAGGAAGGGTAAGTCTACCCCAGGATAATGTCAGAGATTTGATTACTTATTTTTCAATATACAGGTTACAGGAGTTATCAACAATATTTCTTGTTTCCAGAACTTCAACTCTTAAGATTTTTAACAGGCTTACATCTTATTTTTGAGGGCAGATTGTGCTATTTTAAAGCAGGTTTATTATAAATGTGTGCACCACTGTTTAGAAAGTATGTATAATTATATTTAAGGAAAACTAGCAGATTTTTTTTTTTTTTTTAAGCACTGCTAAGAAGCTGAAGTAGTTGATGCATCAAAACAGCATAGAGAAAATACATGGAAGTTTGAGATACCTCTGGTGCCACAAAGTTTGCAGTGTAGCACGGAGTTAGCAGTAGTCCATTTTCTCCTCGAAGTTGTTTTGCAAATCCAAAATCACAAATTCTGATAGAATCAGCATTATTTGAATCATCCGTATATAAAATATTACTAGGTTTAAGGTCTCGATGCACTACCTTTAAACAAAGAAATTTTAAAATCTATCATTTAGAAATTCCAGGTACATCTGTTTTTATCTAATTTGGAATTTATAAAAACTATTCTCTGCTTTAATATACCTATTAACAGTTCTACACAATTATATAACTTTCACATAACGAAAAATTCTAGTTCAAGTAACATCATAAAATAGCTTAGTGGCTCATAATGCAGCTGGAACTAACATAACCGTTTGCCAAAAAGCATAAGAGAATAAATATCTGCTGTTTCACAAACTGTAAGAGTAGAGTCAAAAGGGCTTGCTGGAATAACAGGATGAGTTGTTTATATTATTCGCCTTTGTCATAAAATACTCAGAAATCTTTTTCCCTTCAGCCAGAAAAACAAGGCAACCAAAGCACATAACAGAAGGCATTTGTTAATTTTAAGAAATGTGAAAGAAGTTATGTCATGGAAGACATCACTCACTCCTTGGCAGTGCAGGTAATCCACAGTCTTCGCTATAGTGTACAACACCGCGCTGGCCTCTCGCTCCGAGAAGAACTTCTGTCTGAGAATCCGATCGAGCAGCTCTCCTCCTTTCATCAGTTCAGTGACAAGGTAGATGAATCTACCATCATCATACACCTGATGGGAAGTTTAACAAGTGCATATATACATAAATACACACATATATATTAAAAAAAAGAACATCCCTAATTATACATCCTGATAAATGTGAAGAATTACAGACTAGACTGTTCACCTATTCACATCTGAACATAAAGCACAAATAGCAGGGACTGGAAAATTTAATTCCACAATTCAGGAGTCTTAATGCATGAAGTGCAAGAAAGCTTATGTGTCATTCTGTGAGGCACTGAGGTAAACAGATTGTTAATTCATGACTGGGAATTAAATTTTTCAGTCTAGGAACTTCTGTTGTAAGAGGAAAGTAGTCCTACCACTCCCTACTGCTCTTCCCCTCCACAGACAATTTTTAGCTGCTGGCACTTTGCATAAACAGGACAACATGAAACTGCTTTTTCAGATTACCAACACATTAGCTACCCATTTGAAATAAAAAGAAATATGGCATTTCTAACCTTTACATCATTTCTTACTTCAAGTTCATTAAACAGCATTTAGAAAAAATTAATATCAGGACAATGTCATATTTTGAAATAATCAACCCTTTATATACTGCTCTCCCAAGACAATTTATTGTGTAAAAGAAATTTAATGAATCCCAACAAACTCCCTGCATCTGTATTTATTTATTGACTACAACGTTATAAGAGGTAGCAGAGAAAAAAAAAAAAAAGAAGAGGTACATACATCCTTTAAAGTAATAATATTTGGATGCTGTCCATAACGCATGAGAATCTCAATTTCTTCTGAGGGGTCCCTCTTGCTTTTATCAATGATCTGCAAAATATAGCAACAGGAAAAAAACAACTTGGCTAAACAAAGTCTATTTAATGCAGAATTTTTTGTGTGCTTATATTCTTACCTCAACAACAGAATAATGATAAAAAAATAAATCTAGAGTTTGTTACTTCTTGCTAATCATGACTAACTCATCTTCCAGCTTCACATCGCAATGTTTATTCATTTCTTGCTCTAGACTTGCTACCAGTAAAAACTTATCATGAATACAATCCGTTCTGCTCCAATGGACAAGGAAATGCAATGGACTGTCTGAAGCATCATTATCTCCCTGCAGCCCAGTTCTGCCTTTGTGGATCTTATTTTATTTCAGGTTTTCTCACCATTGTACAATATTTTCAGGCTTCAAGACTGTAATTGCAAAGCCAGTTCTTCAAGGCCATAACTGTACCCACAAAAAGAAGAGCAACAGAAACCAATACACAATTTAAACAAATTAAGAAGGCGCTGTTTTTCATTTCTCACAGCATATAAACAGCTAGAGTAACTGGAAAATTCATGCAGTTAAGTTTACAAGTCTACTATATAGTAATTTCAGAACTGTCATGGTGAAATTTATTCCAAGTACCTTCACAGCAAACTCCATATTTGTAGCTATGTGTACACATCGCTTGCAAACAGAATAGGAACCAACACCAATATCTTCCTTCAGTTCATATACATCAGTAAACTGTGCGCTGTTTCCATGAAGTTGCTTTAAAAAAACAAATACATACAAGCTGTCATCTACAGCAACAAGATGCTCTTCACCACAGTACTGTTTCCAATACTGTCTTCTGCTTGCCCATGCTTTCTCTTTTGAATTCTGCCTCCAGAAAAACAGCAACTCACTTTTTAAAATATAAAAACATCCCATAGAAGCATTTTAATAATGCACAATTTATAATTGTTTCCCCAACATAAAAGCACAGACTGTCAACACTAAATATTGGTCAATCTTTAGCACATCAAAAAAGTTTCCCAAAGAATAAAATGTTACCTGTACTATTGGCAGTATATTGGTAAGTGGTGATATTTTATGATCTTCTACAGTAGTAGTTGCAACAAAACTAAATCCTTTGAAGAGCTGATGAGCATTCGCACTAGGTGGGACTCCTGGAGAATCTAGTTGCAGACACATTTGATTAGCATGGCTAAATCTCTAGCAAGGCTTTTTTGTTTGTTTTTGTTTGTTTGTGTTTTTTCTTGTTTGGTTTGGGTTTTTTTTAAACATTCAGGAGATATGTTAGAAGAAACATTTTGAGGGAAGAGAAGCAAACAAGAGCAACACCAGATGCTGAATAAGACTTCCAGTCAGTTATCTGTCTTCTCTTATTTCAGTAACACACACAAAGCAAGTATTCCTGGGTTTTATCTAAAACTGCAAAACACTGCAGGAACTAATGTATGAATATATGTTTTTAGAAAGAAGTTTCCTGAAGAACAACACTACTTATGAGGAATAAATAAAGATCATAGTCCAATGTTCAAGGACTGCATCAAGGACAAAGAAGAGCACCCACAGATTTTGCTACTTCAGTGGTATACGTGCTGCCAGCAAGGCAGAAGCGAGGCAATATAAGAACATTCAATTAATAACACTACAGAATAATCAGAACCAAATTTTCCTCAGACTATATTATGCGTACCTCTGAGTTCACTGTTTGAAATTTCACAGTAAGCACAGTGAAGCACATAATTCTGTGTAGCCTATTAGAACCACAGACATCCTCCAAACAAATGTGACAAGTGGTTTTAGCAGTTGGATGCAGCAGCAAAGAAAAAAATTCACAAAAGAAAACCTGGAGTGAAACTTGAAGCATACTAAGCAATGAGTGTTTGCACTTACTGTCTTTGTTTCCAAGTTCAATTACTTGGGAATTTTCATAATGCAATAATCTAAGGGATCTTTTAAAGATAAATTTTCATAAGCTTCTTGAAACTCTTTGTGATGTCTTTGCAACTGACCTAGTAGTACAAGGACCCAGCTCACTGTACATTTTCCCCACCCTTCTCTACCTTTGAATCACCATTTTCTCAAGAGTAAAGTCAAATTCAGCATGGGTAGTGAGAGGAACAGCTCAATGAAAAAGTTATTATAATGCTAGTTTTAAGATTTTATTTTAATAATGATAATAATTAATAGGCTGAAGAAAGTTAAAGCAAGTCATTTTCAGTGGAATACTGACCCTAAAAATAATCACTGCTGCAATCAAATTTAGTTTACTTTTAGTATTAAATACTTTCTCACAAACACTGCATGTCTGACTTGAAACTAGAAGTAGAAACTATAATTCATCTGTTAATATTCCTTTTTTTTGTGTGTGTGTGTGTGGGTGAATCAAAGCTTAGCAGAATATTTCAAAGAACAGGAACCCGCTGAGGAAAACATACTTCTTCAAAGCACCGTAACGCTGTTGCACCCTTTCCTTTTAATTCTGTCATTGGCTTTTTCTCTTACTAAGCTTGTTGTTGTAACATTAATTTGACCCTTCTTGTCCCACAAAAATCACCAATTTATAACCATGCACAATTACCTTTTGGTGTTTTTGCTGTGAATTCTGGATCAAAACAAAAGGTGTCTTCTGGTTTTCCAGAAGCAGGTTTAAACGGGGGTTGAATTTCTCTTCTGAACAGTTTCTAAAGTAGAATGACAAAGTCATATAATTAACAGTGAATGAAACTTCCATGGGTGCTGTAATTTTGTCAAGCTAAAGAGTAAGCAACTCAAATGTTATTGGTGTATTAAAACAGCTTTCTGAGAGTGAATAACACACAGCAAGTAGAAAACCACAAATATATACGGGAAGACTGACTTGCTTTCAGCTACCTTTGATCTGAAATGTTTGACAGGAAATGTTAACAAACAAGTCAAACAACACAGAGCTCTTTTTCCTTATTCCTCTGAATGCCTCATCTACCAGATCTGTACTTCTAAAACGACACCAGCAGGCTGCTACTTATCACTAGTTCATCTTTTGCTTAATCAGAAGAACATGGACTAGCCACAGCACACCTTACCTTCTATCATCATCTCAGACCTGGTCCACTGGTGTTTTGTCAGAACCCTGAAAAACCCACCCCCCAAAGGGAAGATGTGGAATACAGTCTTGACCTTTCTGATCTAGGTCCCAGACAAAGACCTCTCAAGAGTGACAGGCATGTCTCTCTTGGTTAAAGAGCTGACAATTCTCAAAGCTCTAGTCCAAGTTTTTCCTAATCTGCTAAGCTAAATCAGAGGGAAGGAAGAGAAAGCAGAACAACAGCTCCTCCTTTTTTTCCTCCTTTATTCAACATGCTTTAGAAAAATGCATTGCCCAAGTGATCCCAAATCAGCAATAAGTCCCATCTACAGCTAAGGAAGAGAAAATTTCATGTCAAGTGATGCTGAAGCCCCATGCAAAGTTCAGGAAGTTCTGAGAACATTTTCATGGCATTTCTCTCATATTTCCAGACCTATTTTTTGCACTTCTTTTCATTTAACCTTCCTGCACAAGAAATGCAACATATTTCAATTAAAAAACAAACAAGCAAAAAAAACCCCAATCGCCATCAAAACAAGGAAGAGGAATCTGAATTCATCCTAAAGAAATACTGATACAATACAGAAGTGGTCATCAACACCACCATACTGAAATAAGTACAAAGCACTGTGAAATAAAAATTTATGGGGAAAAAAAGGAAAGAGAAAGAGTTAGAACTGCAGATCTTTCCCCTTGCTGGTATTTATTTCAATGTCAGTCCCTTACAAAAAAAAAAGTAGATATTCAAGCCATAACAACATAGCCTTCTCTTACAAAGAGTACTCATAGAAAACATTGAAGTTTTGTTGTTACTGAAAACTGTTACTTGCTAATCAGGACTCTGTGGCAGATGCTGCATAAACACAGCTAGAACTCCACCTTCTCAGAAGTAAATACAAGAGATAAAGAGAAGGATAATGACAGTAGGCTTTAAAGAAACAGTTGAGCAAATTATTGGTTAGCACTGCAGGTAGTCCTGTCTCCACAGCACCATCTTATTTATTGTGCCTCTCCTTTTGTAGGCATTATAGCAAAGGAGTGTTTTCCGAGTGGATTTGTTTGATACAGAACATCCTAGTTTTGTGAATGTTTCTGGGAAACACATTTCAAAAGCTTAGAGAACTGCAGAGGAAAAGCATCAAGGTGCCTGTTAAAATTTTAAGCAAGCACTCACGAACTCATACAGACTTCTGATCATCTCAGAGCACCAGAGACAATACTTCAACAGTGAATGGAATAGGAATGTGCTGTGGGGAACTAGAGAGAAGTCAAAGAGAATTACAGTCACAGTGAGTTTTTGTGCCCTGCATGGAAGCACTAGATGGACAGTTACTGAAGAAAAGGATTCTCACACACATGGAACATTAACATCCTCTCCCAACTACAAATGCCCTAACAGACAATTTAAGCTTTAGAATGCTGCAACTCTTAATTATTTAGAAAGTAAACGCACAATTTATAATTAATACTTTCTATACCATAAATACTACAGCTCCAGATGCCAAGTAAGATTATAGCAGAAGCCACAATGTAACAGTCAGCAGTACTGCAGTGTTTGTGTCCTATTCAGATGCAAATGCTCATAATGCTACAACATACAGAAAAATTAAAACCAGCTTTATCATTCAGATCATTTTGTACTTACATTCCAGTCAACAGTAGAAAAAAAAGGATGTCTCTTGATTTCTTCAACTCCATCTGAACCAGCTCCTGAACAAAGAAAATACTGTATTTAAAGCACTTTTGTGTAAAGTCTTTGAAGATTGCTGCACTAAAAATTAGTTCATTTCTAAAAAATTTGCATAGACATGATTATTCAAGGGAACTGTAAATATATAAATATTCCAAGGATGTAAAATACTCAATTAAGGAGCATACACCTCATCAGGGAGGCAAACAAGAGTACAAGAAGCCCATAAATACAGAGAGTCAATATTCTTTGCTCTGATACTGTCAAAGTTTTGGCTCACTGCTAAGAGTCAATGGGCCAAGAAAGCAGTATTTCATTAGCCAAAGCCAGGAAGTTATGATCCAAGCTAACAAGAAATGGTATCGAAACCCAAATCTTACTGACCATCTGGAGCTTGACAGTCTCTAGCAACTACTTTATTTAAATAATCAACTCAACCCAACTACTTTTATTTCAAAGATCCAAATAAATGAACCAACCTAATCTATTTGATGGGTTCCTTTTAAACAACATCCTCAGAAGACTTTGTGCTTCAGGGCTGAGGAACTGAGGCATTCCAAGTTTTGCTCTAAAGGAAAACAGAGAAGCAGTGAGAAAAAGAAATACATCTTACTAAGAATTGTCTGCACAGATTTAATTGCACAATTTGATCTAACAAGGATCTATTCCAAAGTTTGCAGAGCGTACAAATTTAACTCATCAGCTTTTAAGTTTCATGTTATACGAGTAGTTTTCAAAACCAACCAAACAAAACCCCACCACATCAGACCAAAAACCCCAAACCCCATCCAAACCCCCAAAACAAGCTTTGGGCTAAAATAAAGTAAAACAATTATCTCGGGAATACATAAGTATTTTCAAAGGTATCTTCAGGTCAGCAGGAAAAAAAAGACCTTTACAAGAATCAGCACCAGAAGCAGCTCACCAAATCCCAGATTACTTAACCCCGAAGTGATTGTTACTATTCCCCTTGAAGCCAGAGCCTCAAGAAGCAGCTCATTAAGCCATTTTATAAAAGCTTACTGACTTTAACAAGCTTATTTTATGAAAACAATTACGCTAAGGTAAGAAATTCCGCAGAACTGTAGCATCACTAATATCACTATAAACTCACACTCAGGGTTAAGTTCAAATTGCCGTGTGTTGGGAAGAACAGAGCTGCTCTCTCACCCCCTTCCCTATCACCCCCTCAAACAGCCCAAGGCTCTGCATGGGGTCTAAAGGAAATTCTTTGTTAGCTAAGCACAAATAAAGATGAGAACGTATTTGCCCAACAACTTCACTCACTAATCACCAGTTTACCCGGTCTGTCTTGTCAGACAGCTTCTGTTGTAACCGAGGTAATTTAATAGGAACAACGTGAGCAGGTAAGTGCGCTCTCCATATGTACGTACACAAAGCAACACCTGATTAACCACTGCTTACAAAATAAAGTATGCTGTAACAGTAGCAAGAGCATAACCACATGAGTGGTAAATAATGCCGCTCTAATTCACTGTTCTGGTTTTATTTTTATTATACACCTACAATGAAAATACAAGTTCATCCCTAAGATTTTAATTCCTGCAGATACTTAACAGGATTTATATGATCCGTGATCCCAACCTTGTTTGGGGTTTGAGGGGGGACTTGGCTTTTTTGTTCCTGTTCTAGCTTAACACTCTTTAAGCCCAAGGAGTTACAACAAGCTGTTAAAACATATTTTAAAATTACATTTTCTGACTTCCCAAAAAAGAAAGAAGATATACTTACTTCAGTATCATATTCATAGTTTCATTTCGATCTTTACCTTGAAATGGTAGTGTACCAGTAAGCATTTCAAACTGAAAAGAACAAATGTTAATCTAAATCAACACTTCTTCCCCCAGTTGCTTGAAGTGTTAAGTAGCATACTCTTCCCTAGCACTACATTAGACACACTGGCTTGAGCTTTTAAAAGATTATCAAAAAAGTTCACAAATCTAAAATTTTTGCTTTCATTGGTAGTTTACGTAACAACAGTGGCAAGTGTAATGTAATGATGATGTAGGAATATTTTACATCCACAAGTTACTTCAACTAAAGTAATAAAATCCCCTCCATAACCAAATTTTAGATGTTGCCATATTCTGTAAACAGCAAGGGGAACAAATTCTATAACAGGACTTTACTTTTAATGTCAATATGCATATTCCAGCCTGATACTCTAACACAGCACAGCAAAGGCATAAGTCACTGGCTTATTTCACTACTTCACTCCAGTATTCATTCAACAGGTTTACTCTTACAAAAATGCAATTAATATTCCATCAAACCAAGTCCTCAGTTTGTTTTGGTTTTTTTTTTTTTAAATATCAAGTAACATGCTACAAAATAAATACACAAAATGAAGTTTCACACTGACTACAACTGTTTTAAACCACTAATGGACTATACATATGATTTTTGTTCTTCTTGACAAGTACTTCTTACAGGAGTAAGCAGGTGAAAAGTAAATTTAATTCAAACTAATTGCTATTTCAGTAGCAATACAATCATTGAATTCTCTCTTCCCCTTACCCAAGTATTTGTAATTAGATCTGGACAAGCTTATGCTAACTACATTATTTCACATTCACTTAAGACATATGCAGTGTATTTGTGACCTTAAGGAAGGTAAGCAACGAAGCATACAGTACCATGAGAACACCAAAGGACCACCAGTCAGCACTCTGGTTGTGCCCTCGCCTGTTTACTACTTCAGGTGCCATGTATTCTACAGTACCACAGAAAGAATAGGCCTTCTTCTCTTGATCTACTGATTCTTTGCTGAGTCCAAAGTCTACAACAACAGCATTACAAGAATAAAGCCAGTAAAGAACTTCAGAGAAAAAAAAACAAAAAAAACAATACTGTATATGGTATTCACCAAGCAAAGTGTTGACAGCTTTTGTTGGTTTGCTTTCAGGAATATTACCTGATTATCCTACCTCTGCATGAAACAAGCAGACATTAAGTTTACTACATCACCAAAACCATTCTATAATATCAAATTGATGATTAGCCATCGATACTGCTACTCAAAATAACTCAATATTGGAAATATTACACACTTAGAGCCTTAACATAATCAAAAATTCTTGTTTGCTGTTTACTGTCTGCTTTACTCAGACAAAAAAAAATTGGACAGAAGTAAAAATGAGTTTCAAAGAGAATGCAGTCTGCAGAGTCTAGTATTACTGAAAGATGAATAAATAAAATCAGGCTAAAAATATTCTTGTTATATAAGACACAGTTCTGCAACCTGACTCAAGTTCAGTAAAGAAGTCTTTGCATATCTACTTACTTTATTCCCCAAATACTTTTTTTTTTTTCCTAGTCTGAACAATGCCATTGAATACACAAGTCCTTGCTATTAGCCCAGCTCTCAAGATGAGGCTCTCAAGTGTCCCTTTTTTCAAAGGGGAAAATGATTGCTCATCAACAATCCCATCAATTATTATTTACAGTTTCAGAAGGAAGTGAGAAGTTTAGGATTGAACTGGATTTAAATGTATCATGCAGAATTTTAAAGATGATGCATTTTATAAGCCTGATTTCCATCACCATTATTCCTCCAAGTCTCTGAGAGTTTAAAGAAAACTTCATTTTGTCTTGGAATCTTATAACAATATCTATAGATCTAAATATATAGTGACATTTATAATACAAAAGCATCACATTACATTTAATTTAAAGCTTTCAGGAATTTACAGTAATTTGGTTTCCAAATAGTCACAGTCTTTTGTGTATGTAATTTCCTAGATTGTATTTTAATTGTTCCTCATAGAACATTTTTCTGCAATTTTATATGCATTTAAATGTGATAATCCAGAAATGTAAAAAAAGAGGTTATATTTCAGAAGTCTTATTGTGCACTAAGGCATTTCACAGTAAATCTTGATACAGCTCACTTTCTAACCTGAACAGTGGATAGTTTTAGTTACTAATATACTGCCACCTGAACTAAAGCTTCTTTAAAAAATGCATTTAAGGTCTGGCTTTGGATTTTCAACTACATTTCTTCTATTTTAACCATAGCAATGAGGATCTGCACTTTGCAGCAATATTGCTGCTAACGCTGCAACTTGAGCTATACAAGTATTAGCCAACATGAAAACTAACTCCCACGGACATCAGGATCTGGTAAAAAAACAAAACCATCAGATATAGTCTCTGACTATCTAAAATACTTCAACAGGAGTACTTAATACTCAATTAGTACTTTGTACTTAATAAAGATTTATTATAAAAAGTCTGTCCAATAAAAAAAATGTTCCAAACAGCTCAATACTGGCTCACACATATTCCAGCCATCACTACACATATCTTAGGCTTATAACTAAAAGCTTATACAGAAATACGTTCAGAAAGGGCTATACTAATAAGTGTTACCTACCTGTTAACTTGATATGTCCTGCTTCATCAAGCAAAATGCTGAAAATTAAAATTCACATTCACCAATACACATAGAGAAGAATGTTTACATATTTAAAATACAACAGTTAGCAATTTTAATCTCCAACTTTTGTTATTAATTTAACAAGTCTATATTATTTCATTTAAATCACAGATGTAATTTTTTTACATTTTATAGGGTTTTTTTTACACAGTCTAACAAAAAATATTTTTAATTTTTTAAATTGCTATAGTGGAAAATGCAAAGCAACAAACAAAATACACATAATAGTGATAAAATACATTTTACTTTACTTTTCTGGCTTCAGGTCCCTGTATACAATTCCCAAGCTGTGAAGGTGATCCAAAGCAAGGGCCAGTTCTGCGAGGTAGAATTTCACATCTTCCTCTGTAAACATAACCTAATAAGAACTGTATAGATTTACCTTCTGATCTTGTCTTCAGTTTTTAAAACTGCAATCTACAAAAATAATCCTGTCTTCCTAAATTTCAAAATAAGTTTTAGAAGTACCTTATGAACTTAATTAATTCAGCTGATAGAAATTATATACTAATACAGGCTAATTGTCAAGTATACAAAAGAACTACCTGCAATACTTAAAGTCATCAGCATCTACTGCAGAGCATTAGCTAATTTTTAAGGTAATAAATTTAATTGTTGTATTTAGTGTTATTGACCACCAGCACTCCTTCTGCCACAATCCTGTACAGACTGTTTTCCACTGCATCATAAAATTTAGTATACAGCTACTGCATCAGGTGACTTTCTCTGGGAATTCACATTAACAATATTCAGGAAAAAAAAAAGTAGAAAAAAGTATGCAAAATAAAACACTTTGGTGAAAATAACAATGACGTGAAAATCTGCAGTGAGAGTTGAAGAACCTACTTCGCTTTCCTTGGGAAATTTCAAGAATGCTAGTGAGATACTGAAAAACTGACTGATGTTGTATATAGAACACTGGAGAGACACATGTCTATCCTAAATACTCAACAGGTTGTTTCTAATTTCATATACAAGAATCACACCTGCTTTGGCTCTTGTCATGTTCTACACATTACTGGACAAGGTAGTAATCTTTAAATTACTGGAACTGAATTTGCTGAAGCCACCAGGAACAAGAACAGTCATCTCAACTGCACAGTTGATAGCTAACAAGACTTCAGATAAGGTAACTGGGCTGACCCATTTAGTAGTACACTGATCTCCACTTGGAAATGCACATATGTAATCTGTCCTACTGGTAACGGAAACATTCCTACTTGCCATAACGATAGGGATTAACAAAGCTGTTATGCTACACAAAGTTTCACCTTGAGTTTTATAAAGAGCAATGTTGATAACTGGGTTTGATCTATATCCAAAAAACAAGAGGAAATCTTGGATATGATTCCTCCTCGGAGTAGCCAAAATGCAAATCTCAGAATACAAGGATGCTAAATACTAATCTACAATCTCTTAATAATAATTTAATTTAAAACTGTTTTCTGTGTCTAATTAAACACAAGTCAACTTCATTAAATGTTACCAAAGAAAACTTCATTATATACTCATTTCACTTCTACAGCTGAAACTCTCATACCCACATTAGACCAAAAGTGTTTTAATAACCTCATACAAAACCCAATTAACTTAAAATAATCCTTACGTGGAAAGTATGAAATGCCATGGGGATTTACCCTCACGTGCATTGTCCACTGTCTCTCTCTTTTGAAAATACCTCGTCTTCCCACCAGAAAATAAAAAGGCCTCATTTTTTGACCCCAACATAAGAAAGACATGGACCAGTTGGAACAAGTCCAGAGAAGGCCACCAGGATGATGCGAGGGCTGAAGCAGCTCTGCTGTGAGGACAGGCTGAGAGAGTTGGGGCTGTTCAGCCTGGAGAAGAGAAGGCTCCGGGGAGATCTTATAGCGGCCTCCCAGTACCTGAAGGGGCTACAAGAAAGCTGGGGAAGGACTTTTCATAAGGGCAGTTAATGACAAAACAAGGGGAAATGGGTTTAAGCTGAAAGAGGGGAGGTTTAGATGAGATATTAGGAAGAAGTTCTTCACTGTGAGGGTGGTCAGACACTGGAACAGGTTGCCCAAGGAAGTTGTGGCTGCTCCTCCCTGGAAGTGTTTGTGGCCAGGTTGGATGAGGCTTTGAGCAACCTGGTCTAGTGGAAGGTGTCCCTGCTGCTGGCAGGGGGGTTGGAACTGGATGATCTTTAAGGTCCCTTCCAATCCTAACCATTCTATGATTCCATGATTCTTTCTTATCTATATACACAGAAGTGTTTAAAAGCCCTCATAGAAGGTAACAGAAGTCTTCCAAAAAACATGTAGAGACGTAACAGTCAGAAAACTTGACAATTATTACTCCTTTATTCCCAAAGGGACTATAGACCTCTTTCAACCACCTGGCCAGTATTATTATGGATAGACTTGCATCCCTTATTTAAGAAGGCTGCAAACTCTGTAATCCCAGCCATGTTAGTGCAAAAGAATAGTTCTTCCTGCTCTACCAGAATTTCCTCTATAATTAGACATTCTATATCAAAGCAGGGATTGATCTCTTTCCTACCTACTGTTCCAATAACCCCTTACAAGTCGGTCAGGTTGTTTAAGCTTTTCACCTCCATTTTAGCCTCAAGGTTAATTAATTTTGAGCTCAATTCTTAGACATGATCACTGTTTTACCAAGGTCAGCTTTTTATAGAGAATGAAAAAAAAAAAAAAACCCAAAACCAAACAACCTTTAAATTTTTCCTCCTCTTTTGCCTGTTCCTAAAGTAAAGCTTTATTTTTACAAAAAGTATATGGAGAAAAAAATTAGCTCGTGGCCTTACACACTGGGGATACAACCACCTCCTTCATGGTATGAAAAATCAGTCAGATATGCAGTTTTCTCATTTAAGAAAGTGGTTTCTCCTATGCATTAGCAATATAAGTGCATTTACACCAGTGAAAACACTGAAAAGCTCTCTTACTGTGAAGTTGTTGAGAAATTGCCATTAAAAATTTAGATCTCTATAAAAGGTTTGCAGAAAGAAAAGTCTTATAAACATGTTCAAAATACTTAAGGTAACATATAATAAATATTTGATGACAAATGTTTAAAAAAAAAATAACAAGATGCATGATATTCCCTCCTCTGAAGCTCTCTCTCCAGAAAACAAAAATAGAAATGAAAAATTAAAGTTCCAGTTGCATGCCAATGTAAGGTGAAGGGGAGTGGCCCCAAAAAACCTCAATGTTCACACTTTGTGAGATTAAGCATTAGGATTTGTATTGCAGAGTTATGAAATTTTACAATGCAGAAGAAGTCTCTGACAGATGTGGGCTTCAAGGAGCACCTGAGCTGACTATAACCATGAGAACTATACATCACCTTTCTTTATTGCTACATCTTAATTTAACCCAGTTAGGTTTCCAAGTAATAACACATTTTTAGACAAAATAACTGTACTTTGCAGATATCAAATTAAAACTTAGGCTATTAATCAATGCACACTCATGTTTCTTAAGGTTATAGAATATATTCTAAAATATGTAAGGGAAGCTTAACTAAATTATTAAAAACTTGACTATGACAGGAAATGTAGGGGAAACAGCTATAGAAGACAATCCTATACTGACAGAAAAACCAACCGCTGTCTAACACTGAGTGGAGATAAAAATTTAGGTACTTACCTCTTTGGATAATCGTGTGAATACATCTCCTCCCCTGAGAAAATCCAATATTAAATATAGCTTCCCTTCAGTCTGAAAGGCTTAAAAAAATTTAAGAAAAAAACAAATCAATAGTTGTGTGACAATGATGATCTACAAAACAAATCTTAATGCTTTCACAACTTCAAAATTTCAGCATAAGGCAATACTTTTGTTATGGAACTGAAATAATTCAGCAGCACATGAGGTAATTTATTGAATGATTACTTGTTTCTTCACAGAAGACAATCTTAGTCATGAGAGATCATTAAAATACCGTTCTTTTATTTCTCCTTTGTCAAACAGGGAAACACCAAGTATGTGAATTACTGTGTTTTGGTTTTACTCAATGAAAAGTAAAAAAACCTCTGCAGAACTCATAAGAATTTTCCACACCTTTAATTTCACGAGGACTCAACCTAAAACTTTTACATATATGTGTATTTACATTCCTTTTTTTAACCCTATAATCTTAAAGTTGCTAGAAACTAATTTGGACACTGAAATGAACTGAGAAAGAACAACATCAGCTATGCCTTCAAGTAATGAAAGAAACTGTAGTAAAAATAAAAAATACCCACCATAGTGCAGTTTGACGATAAACGGATGATTTACTTCTACCAATATATCTCTCTCCATTTTGGTACGAACTCTGTCCCGAACTAAGGGGGGGAAAAAAGAGACAGAAAAAAACCCAACTATGAAACAAATGTATTTGGTATAATACAAATGGAGAAGAAATTAGCACATGGAAAGTCTTGGCTGTCTAAAGAAATACTTTTCCTTATTACTTTACTTGTTTTTAACTTTAAAGCCTCACATAAAAGACACTTTCAGACAGCAAAACTCTATTTTGTTTCTTACCTGTCCCAGCTTCCTTGTCTTCTTTTTTTTTTTCCCCAAACACATCCCAATATTTTGTGATAATCCATATTACTTTCAAAAAAACCGCTCACATCTGCATTTCCAGGCAGCTAACTTCAACCTCTGAATTAACTATCTGTACTGAATATACATATTCTGTCTTTTAAGATTCCTTTTTTCTCTTCAACTAGTAACAACCCCTATTTACACAGAGTGGACTTGCGTCCATTAAAGTGTCCTCTGAAGGCCAAAACACTTAGCTAGCTTGCTATGGCACCTATAACAAGAGGGAATGACTTAACAATTACAACCATAGCGGAGTTTTAATTTCACAAAAGACAAAAGGAAGATTGAAAAGACTCTACAGAATTAAATAATGCAATTTCAAACTTTGAAAGAGTATTTTTTACCACATAATTAAAGTTATCTGGCCAGATTTAAAATAATTCTTCAACATGAACTTACAAGGTACTCTAAGAAAAAGCTATTGTCAGAGATGAGTTAGGAACTCATTGAAAAATATTTCAGACTAAAAAAGAAGCTTTTAAAAAGAAGTACTTACAAGACTTACTTAAGAGATACAGGTGCACTGAAAACCATTTTCTAAAGTTCCAGTTCAAAAGATACACGTACCTTTTAAAGAAGCTTTTTTCAATACTTTCATTGCATAAAGTTGCCCAGCATCAGGACCAATTATTTTCCGTACGAGGAAGACCTGGTAATATAAACACCATTTTTAAAATTACTGTTAAAAATATTTTATGTAAACACTACATCAACCTGACTAAAAAAGCATTACTATGACTTTACTTTTAATTTCATTAATACAGACAAGGAGATAGTATGTCTCTAGTCCCATCCCATTCCTCAAAACCTCCGAGGAATGAAAAGATGCCAAGTATTCACAGTAAGTCTTTTTGCATAAGCAAACCTAGTAATCAAATACACAACTACCACAAAGCATTTGCAAACCTCCTGTTCATTTCAGCCAGCTTTCAGTGTTCTTTCCTAAGTATACACCTTTAAAGGAAGGGCAAAATTGCATTCCCTTAATCAGATTAGAGATACATGCAGCACCAAGCTCTCTGAACCATTCAGATGGGTCATAAACTACATATTCTTTCCCATAGCAAGCCACTTAAATAAGTACTTATCAAATAAGTACTTACATAAATGTGTTCTGTTATATTACTTTCTTGGAGAATGACAATTCTGCCTGGTCTGCTACCTCCTAAAAGATTTTGGAGGTTTAAGACCCAAGTCTCAAATATGTAACAGGCTATATGAATGAATTCTGTCAAGAGTGGCGAGACGAAAGCAAGGAAACCTCACCATTTCAGATCAAAGCACCCTTTCCCTCTGGAATAGCAACTCCAACAGGTTTTTCTACTCTCTTCTTTCCAGAGGAGTTTTAAAGATAGATGGTACATAACTTGACACTAATAAAAGCATAATATTAGATAGAATAATCCAGTACAAACATATGCGCCTCTACTGATTAATATTCTAACTACTAGGCCTTACAATTTACAAATTTTTTTGGTATGTGCTCCTGTTTCCAAGCTGTTGTTGTTATAACAGCAATTATTAGTTATGAGGAATGTTTGTACTGTTAAAAAAAAAATGAACAAGTCAAGAAAATGCCAAGAGCCACCCAAAACTGTCTCTCTGATCTCACCTTATTCAAATTTTCATTAACAATACATTTATTTACACATATACTTTGTCAGAAATTATTAAATATTTGGAAATTATTTTTAAAGATAATCAAATAAACTTGTCAACTTTTCCATTCTAGAATGAGAAATTCATACGCTGTCACTGACTAAATTGTATAGGATTGGGAGAAGGGTTGTTTTTATTTTAAGCTCTGGTTAAATGAAAAACATCATTATGTTTCAAGGTTATTGGGCTTTTTGTTTTGCTTAAGTTTTGCCCAATGATTGACCTACAGCTCTGCTCTCCTATTACATGATGTTGATGTTCAAATAGTAAATAGAGTAATTCAAACACCAGCCAGTAAGAAAACATCACATAACATCACAACATAATGTTCATTTAGCATCTTTTAGCTGTAGATCACTTGACAAATACAGCAAAATAAAAAACCTGAAATACATTTCCCAGGTTATTTACTTTATTGTTACTTTGGTTCAAGTTCCAAACTACCACAATCATTCTTCTGCATCTACATCAATATAGATTTTGATATTGAAAAAAGTCAAACATTCACAGCATGTCAAGCACCATCATTAAAAGACAAATCACCATCTCCTCCAGAAGGGTCTATCCATGTCTATTACACTGCTGGTGCCTCCCGAGCATCAACCTAAGCTACAGAACACGTGAGGCAACCTATATGGAACAGAATCATTCATTCTTATTCCTCACTAGATGCTGCAACAAAGTCTTGAGGCAGTTGAAAACACCATGATTTTATTTCAAATACCATGGCATTAGAGCTTGTTGACACCAGAGCCGTTGCATAAAAACCATCCTTAGCTCTGTAACCCCACTGGCAAAAGCCCTTGCTGTTGGTGCCACTGTTCCCACAAAGCTGCCAGGCCAGATGAACCACAAACATGCCTCTCTCTCCAGATAAAGCAAACCATAACTTTCCATGGCAGACCTCCTAAAATTTGCTACTGAGTGACCCTTCTGCCCAGAGACTGAGGCTGTTGCCTCTCTGTTTCTGGTACAATTTGGTGTCATAGAATCATAGAATGGTTTGGATTGGAAGGGACCTTAAAGCTCATCCAGTCCCAACCCCCCTGCCATCAGTAGGGACACCTTCCACTAGACCAGGTTGCTCAAAGCCTCATCTAGCCTGGCCTGCTATAAAGAGTGCTCCCTTGGCACCAGAGTAAGATTGGAAAAAGATGAAGTTTGTTCAGTATCTTTTCAAACATTCCCAGCAACTCTGCTACAGCACTATCTTTCTTGAATGTCTTGGCAGGTCTATGGAAAAAGACATTGCTTTTCCTCTAAAAAGCATGAAGTTAGAAATGCTATCATAGTAAAAATGAAAACACACACCCTCCTCCCCACTCAACTGTAAAACACAACAGATCACTGTCCTGGTTTTGCTAGGATAGAGTTAATTAAGTTTAATAACTTCCCCCAAAACAGAGCAGTTTCCACAAGCATATCCACCTGTACTCTGATTTGTTAGGTTTAGACCTTACTTTGTAGTATTACAGACATAAGGGAAGTAAGGCGAAGCAGTGGCCATCAGATGGGAACAAAGATCGTTATCTTACCTTTCCAAACGATCCCTGTCCAAGAACTTTAAGTAGTTCAAACTGTGCTGGATCTGCTTTCTCACATCCTTCTTTCACATGATGTGTAATAGGAATTTCTTTCACACTTCCTTCATCCTATTAGTTCAAGGCAAACAAAATACAACAATGAACAGGCCTCAATGAATCAACTCTCGTTAGAAGTGCACATAAATGCCTGCTCTTTTCTTCAGTGTTATTTTTTTTAATAAAATATGTGAAATTCTAATAAGGCCTAAGAGAAAGCTGTTCAAATGAAGTTTTCCCATCTATCCTTTCTTAAATACACGCATCTAAAATTTCTAAACTGAATTTAAATTCTCAAAGAATGCTCATTTCCTTTTGTCATAAATATTACGATGGATTTTCTTACATGAAAGGAATAAATATATAGATTTTAAAAACAAGTCTAAAGATGATCCTTCTGTGCTTCAACTGTTTAGCGGCCTTTAGTTTTGCGAGAGATGACTCTTCTCATCCTTCCCTTTCCTGAAATAGTCTTAATGAAAGCTAAATTGAATTTCATCATTTTAAGTAATCATTGCTTTTCACAGCAGCAAATAATAAATATGGTCATCCATTTGTAGCTAGAGGAACATGCAGCATTTGAAGAGCATAAATAAGATATGAGTCATCTTAAGAACTCTGTGAATTCTTGCATCCAACAGAAGAAACAGCTCTGCAGTGCAGAGCTCATGGAAAGATTTTCCAGTGTGGAGACCTCCAGAAAGTTGAGGGTAGCTCTGAGGTAGGTAAAAGATTTAGTGTTTTGTTGACTTTTTCCTGTTACTCTGCCCTTTAGCAAAGCAGGGCACAGCAGCTACAATTGTGAAAAGACAAACATTCATGATGAAAACAAATCAGATTATGTATATTGCAGCTTTTATGGTGTAAGAGAAGTTTCTGTGAGGCAAAACAAGCGAGATGTCAAAATACCGTTGAAACTACGAACTATGTGCTAAGGCCTACAACTTAAACCTGAGCTTGCATGTACAAAAAACCAATTAATTTCTTGAATACTGCAAATACAACCCAATCACAACAAAAAATCCCACCCAATTTGCAGTACTTTGATGTCTTTAGAGTATCCAAATGATTATTAACTGTCCTCTTATCCTCTCTTTAGACTTTCATCTTGAAAGCTTCTCTTAAGTCGAGACCACAAAAATACCCTACCAACCTATGGTGCATTGCTCTCCCTCAATGACAAGCATGAACATCACCAGAAAAAGACTTAACTGTGTGATGGAACAGTTGGTTTTAGGGAAAAACTTCATTCTATAGTCAGACTGACTGCAGAAAGTCTTGCTGCCCAAGACCATGCATTGAAACTTAAAATCAGTGTTACAAGACTTGATAGAAAGGTATCTAGATGGCTGTGGTTACACAGAAATTTAGGGTAGAAATCTGATCATCTAAATGTGTATGTACTTACTGCAATAGAGGGGAAAAAAAAAGGAGCAATCATCACACTGCATTAACTGTCTGTTTTAATTGCTTTGTTTGTCCAGAAGGTGAAAGAAAGATTCACAAACTCTAGGCCAGCTGTCGCTCCATGAGTTCTTTCCCCTCTCCTACATCTCTTATTTCACACTCGTTCTGGAAAAGGCCCGTTTGTCCCACCTGCTTCCCATGCAAAGACAGGTATTAACACAAGGCACTGATGGATAACAAAGTTAATTCTGTCATTCACACTCTAAGGTACTTTTTTCTTTCCTTTGTTCACAAAAAACCCAGTTGACATACACTGATGATACAGTGTATACATCCCAACTTGTCTTCACCCATCCATCTTGCTGACAGTGCATATCCACATTTGTGTGAAAGATGCACCTATCCCTTCACTTTTTATTTATTTTTTAAACACATGCCTGGAATTTAAGGCAGGTAAGAACACTAGCATTTCAAATTATCTGATGACAGATGAAAGCAGCGATTCCTCTAGTTATACACCAAGTTGTACAACCGACTTCATGGCTGTTTCTTTCTATGAAATATGTAAGTATTCAGAAACCTTTTTACTTGAACATCCTAATTTGTATTCCTTAACACTGTGAACCTTTGCATGAGAAGAGATCTTTAAGAGTTTATCTGCTCTCCTGTTTATCACCCACCTTGAGTCATTAGCCTGTGACATCACACATGGTTGCTGCAGAGACTGACAAGAGTATTTCTAAATGAGAACTGAGGAGAAAAATGTTTTCCATGCAAATAAAAAGCAACTTGAGATGTATGAAATTAGTTGGTTTTTTATAAAGTATTTTGCCTTCACAAAAAATGTCTGTATAATTTCACCTACTTAACTATCATTAAAGTACTAAAAATGAGCACGACAAGTATAAAAAGATCTCTGTATCATCAACAAGAAACAAGCAGGTGAAGAGTTGAACAGATATATAAGCCAGTTTCATTTTCATTTCTAGTCTGGCCTCCAGGAACTACAAGTTTGGTTATCTGATTTTGTGCTCTGCTGCTTGAGCAGCAAATCTCTGCCAGGGCTCAGGTACCAGCTCCCACTGAGTCGCCTTGCACAAGGGGGAACTATTCCCAGCAGGTTCAACAGGAGACAAAGCCCTAAAAGAAACGCCGCAATCAGTTATGGCTTCGTGCCATCTTACTTCGTTACAGCTTGACTGGTATGTAGCTCCAAGCACCTAACAAACAAGCTCAGCAACATCCTTCTGCTTCAAGTACAGTGAGAGACTGAGACAACCCACTGCTCATCTTTCTTTGCTACATGTAAGATGACCGGGACACCGATGGTTTATTTACTTACTCCACACCAGGAAACGTCCAAGCACCACATTTCTATCCCCAAGAGTTTATTTTCCAAATCCCTTACGTAAAAAGCTATTGTTGCAACACAAAGCAGTGGTTACAGCTTGCGTAAGATCCACTTGATAGCGTCTTCCATGGTCTTGTTCAAAAAATACATGGATGTGCTTGTTGAAAAGTGATGGCCAATTTCACCACACAGAGAATTAGCCTGAAGTTTAGTCCCAGATTTAGCCAGCACACAGAACACTGATCTTCAGCATCAAAGGACAGGACAAAAATCATGCTCAATAGAGTTTATCTGGGATATTTCTACATAAAAGTCAAATTAACATACTGGTGTAAAAATTAATTCTGTCCTAAAATAGCAGGAATTAAGTACCTTCCAGATGAACGCACAGCAACTACATTAAAAAATACCAAGGAAGAACAGATGACAGAGTAATAAGAGCAACATTAAGCACCTGGTGTACAAAAGGTTCAAGGTTGGACTGAGCATTTCCTGAGGTTGAGGGATCTGTAAATGCTCTCTCCAGCACACAGAACCTGTTTTCCATAAAGCACTGCCTCATGCAGCAAACTTTCCCAAACAAGGCACTAATGGCCCCTACCCAGGTATTAATTTTCAAAATCACCTTTAAGACTCAGAACCTCTTCAGATCTAGTCAAATAAAATGATAGGTTCAAAAGTTATTAAAGAGCAGGGAATGCATAAATTTTGCTTCAAAAGGCACTCATGCTAATGAGTGTCTAAACTGAATATCTATCAAATATACTTACATGGTAGGAATATGGTTCACCTTCTTCCATAGGCTCATCTGCCATTTTAAGGCCATTTAGCTGGAGAGGGGAAGGAAGGGGAATGCAGAAGGGGAAAAAAAAACAAACAAACAAAAAAACAGACAAAAAACCAACATTAAGACCTAACAATTTCAAATAAGCAGAGTTCATAATCTGACCAATTTACCTTTCAGAGCACACAAATGAGAACTGGTGGTCTTGTTGTTCTAATTTCAAACCATAGTTTCAAATAAATACTACTGCTTAGTAGTCACATTTAGCATCTCCCTTATGTATCATGTAGCTTATCCCTTTGTAAATACCATTCTATAGTTATTTAATTTCTATTAATTTAAAATTCCTTTACAAGCTACAGATACCACCCATACAAGATGAGACTAATGTAAAATTCTTCCGTTATGCACAAAATTTACATTGCAGATGCTTTTAGGAAACGTAAAATCCTAAAATCTGCTGCTGAAAATGAATTTGCAGTTTAAGCAAAAAAGATTCAAATGTTATTTCAAGTCTTTTTAGGGCAAGAGGGAGAAGTGCAAGACCAGGTAGAATGGAGACTACATACCACAGAATTCTTATGTACAAAAATAATTACCTATTTCCTTAAAAAAAGTAGATTCCTCTAAAAATTTGCTTGCATCAGAAGTTATTTAAATATCCAGCAAATAGAATAACCAAACTTTAATGAAATCCTTTAGAAACTGTAGATCTGTATATTAAAATATTTGGGGATCAATTTCAAAAATAATACCTTTAAGAGGAAAAAAAGTATGGTATGTATCTGGCCAGAGGCAAATAAATGACATGCCCTTAAATGAGCACAATGCTTACTAGGATTTGCCTACCCCTCTCCACACACTTCAAACAAAGATATCAAGCAAACAGTCACAGTAAAAAAAAATAATTAATTTATAGATAAAGTTATTTAGTTTCAGCTCTCCTTAAGTAACAAAAGATTCAATGCTTTTTAACAACTGAAATAGGAAAAAAAAACCCCAAGAAATACAAAGGACATGCTCTGTTTCAACATGTAAAGCATTAATTAAAAACTGGAAATACCTACAAAATGGGTGAAGCCAATGATGGATTTTGCTAGTGATAATTGATAACTTATTTATATGTTAATTGTTAAGCATCACTACCTTCATGTGGCATAGATCTCACACCACAAAATACTAACTAGAAGTAACATAAGGAAAAATCAAACTACTTTTTTCCTGAAAGTAAAGTTTGAAGCATTTAAGTTCTCGAACCAGGTAATGACTATTTTTAACCTTGTACTTCTGAATTTATCTAAAATACAGGCCTAAGATATAGCAACATGGTACTATTATCTGTGTGTGAACTGGTAAAACACAAGACTACAAGGAATCTTGAAATGCCACAGAGACCATGCCCCTATTTAAACACTCGACAAACGGGTCGGGCTGAAGGGACAGGTTTATACCACCACAATCACGTCACCTGAGCAAACCCAACCACTTCCACTGCTGCTTCTAGGACTCTTGATTTCAAGTAGAGCTTTTAAGAGCTAAGTCTTAAATTAATGATTTTGATAAAATTAAATCTCCAATTTTTGTATCAAGATACTGGCACTTATTTTTGGACTACATTTTTGGAAAAAAAAAAGTTATCAAGGGAAAGCAGCATGAGGCCTTGGTTACTTTCACTGTTCCCTAAGTTTCTATTTATTTTACCCACAGTTTACTACACACACACTCTTCACATTAAATGATAAACCATCCATTTAACCTGGTGCTGGCATATTCAACAGACATTAATCATTCATATACACCATATATTGCCACTCTAATTTCTCAAGGCCAAAAATCACTAACCTATTATCCCGGATTCAGAAACCTCACATATGCTACAGAAACCAATGTTACTAACTAATTTGCTACATAACTTATTTTTAAAAAATAAGTATTTTTTCCAAATTAGATACTGGGAGGGATGGGACACTCACTATACTTGTTATTGTATGAATGAAATGGATATATCATGAAATAATGCCAAAGTTCAGACCAGATATGAACTCCCACCTCATTTTGGACAATTCATTGCCATGTGATTTTACAATAACACCAGATTACACTCAAGTCTGAATTATTGTGAGGCCCACTGAAGTTGTCCAAAAGAATTATTTGGACCTAGTAAGAAAATGGATTTCCACTCCAGGTGCTTAGAAATATGATACAATCTCTCACTCACCGACTTTAATTTGAAGTTAATTTAATGTGCATTTCACTTTTTCTTTCTTTAAATATGGTCAACTTTTTCCAAGGTTTTTTTATTTAAATTTAAGCTCTGGAACCAATACCGCTAGCCAGAGGAACTGCAGATACACTGAAAATAGTAGCTTAATTCCAGGCAATCAGATAAAGAAAGCTACCACTGCTGGAACGGGGTTGTGAACCAAAAATCAGCATACGATTTGATCTACATAGTTCCTGAGCATGCCATGTAGGCATGCTTTCAGCTTCTGGCAAATCAAATATAGTAAGTTATTGGGTTTTTATGGCAGGTAATCAAGTGTCATCTTAATTAACAATTTCCTATCGTACACTTTTCCCCTTCATTGTTGCTCATGGGCTTTTTTTTTTTCCCCCTCCTGTCCAGTCTCTCTATAACTACAAAGACTGGGATGTCTGCCAATTTTTAGTCCAAATAATTCTATGTTCAAGTGCATGAATCTACTTTTATTGCCTCATAGACACAACTACACTTCTGTCCTATTTGTTTGTGAACGCTGGTCACTATCCATTAAAAAACCAAATACTAACAAACCTGTTGGACTGCAACCCAAAGTCAAGTAGTTTTAAAGAACTAGTAGTTTGCTAGTTATTCAGTTAAAAAAAAATCAATTACAAAAATCAAATCATTACTGTTCTATACAGTTATAGATACTGGCCAAGTTTCAGTAACTAGAAGTTCCCACTGTCTCTCATATTAGGCAAAAAAGAAAAATTAATACTTAATTCCCACCTTTACTGAAACCAAATACAAAATTCTGCTTCCACAGCCAACTGGGACCCCTTTCAGTGATTTAATCATTAATATTTATGCACAAACATATACAGAACTATGTTAACTTTTAAGTCATTACTTATAAATACCTATGAACACACAAATTTAATTTATTATTGAGAATTACAAAACACATATCTCTAAGATATGTGCAGAGATACATCTGCAGAGAGTTTGCATCATTAATTTAATTAGCAACAGGTGAAAGTACCATTATTCTGAAGGAGATTCTTTCCTCTTTGACTCATTTTGCTGTGCAGTACTGCTAAAGTCCTACAACTAACCAAACATTTTAAATATTAACTTTCATTAAAACACAAACTAAACTCAGACTTTTAGGCAAACAGTGTCAACGCTCTCCAAATAAAAAAATTTCAAGTTAGAGAATGTAATCCATGTTGTTGATCAGTACAAAAATAAACAAAGCCACTATATAAAAAGAGATGTGAACAAAGTTAAGGTCAGACAACCTGGCAGGTAAGAAACTTACTTTTCCAGAGGTGCAGGGTAAGAGACCCAATCCTGCAATGACAAACTGCCTCCGAGGTAACACAGTGCAATCTGCCTTCTGATTTAAATAGCTGCAATGGATCCCATGACCAGCTGGGACTCTACCCTGTTACCTCGGGAGAACATCCAAAGGGCTTTTGTGGGCTGGTAAAAACCTTAACAACTATTGCACATGATTTTCCTCTGATAATTACAGCAGAAGAAAGGAATCCCAGTGTTACTAAAGATTAGAACTATCTTCTCCCTCATATGAAGGATGTTTTAACAGTTTACATGGTAAATGCCTTATGGTTTGGTGGGTCTATAGGTTTTGGCCAAAAGAAGTTAGACAAACGGTCAGCAGAAAAGCCCACCTACAAGGAGAAATTGCAGAGGATTCAAAGCTCCTTCATTCTGACCTGTTTTTACATATCTTAATTTAGGCATTCAAACAAAATTAGAAATTTTATTTAAAAAAAAACAGAACTGGGAATTTTACAATCATACTATTATTAGAAGTAGAAAGAGTTATTCATCACCACTCACATATTATCGTGCCTGGCTTCAAACAGGTAAAATTCTACATGCGGATCGACAAAAGCTTCCGCATCCTCCACGGTTCCTCCTTCACTGCGCTTAATTTGCTCAGTTACTGCAGGTACAGTCACCAGACCTACACATCTCAATTCTTCCCAATGAACACGAGACAAACCAGTTTGCTTCCCCACATACAAAAGCATTACTTCAAATACTTATTTCAGAATGTTAAAGAGTGGAAGCTTACACTGGAAACCCCAATTATTTTGAAAAGACTTTGGAAAAAATATCCTTTGGAAAAAAAAAATCTTGTTAAGAAGACCACATTTGTTCCTCATTTATTTTGAATTACATCTGCAGAGAGTTTGCATCATTAATTTCATTAGCAACACATTGGCCTACTGAATCTTATTTTCTGAGATAGGTTTGAGAAATTTGGGGGTTTTGCACACAAACAGGTGAGGGGTTTTATTTTATTTTTATTTTAAATGTCTAAAAGTCACCATGAACAAAACTGAAGCTTAAAGGCATCTGCTCTTCCTAGGAAACACCCACAATTTTTCTCCATGCATTTTTTTTTTTTTCTTTTAAAGAGTAGATATTGTTATTGCCCAAGCTGGTGCCCGAGCTGGACACAGCACTCTTGACTACCTGGGCTCTCAGGGTTTTGGGAAGGAACAGTTTCTCCCAGTACAGCAGCAGCCCCACAAACTGGGAGATGCAGCAGTGTTATTGGAGTTACCTGACACAGTTACACCAACTAAAGCTGAGTCCCACCTGACCACAATGTGGCCAGAGGAAGGATGTCCTGCTGACAGCAGTGCCCACGTGAGACTCTGCAGGTTCACGTTGAATTGTCTTCTCATCCGCTCACCGCCTGCACAAACCCTGTGCTAGCTCAGTCCCTCAGCTCCTCTCACAAAAGGAACAAATTGAGTAACTCACTCACAGTCTTTTTAAATATACCAAGTGAAAGAGGAAGATAAAGCCAACTACCTCAAAAAAAAAAACCCCAAAAACAAACCCCAACAACCAACCAACCAAAAAAAGCCCAAAACCTAAACGCATCATCAATTCCTAGGGAAAGTTGCAAATTTCTTTTCCTGTGGCAGATAAATCACATTCAGGCAGGATAACAAACCTTCAGCAACATATAATTACTGATTTTAAGGGAACATTTTGATCCTTCCCATTATCAGAGATCAGGGGAGAATAACGTGTGTCTCAGACTAGTCACAGCTATGACAAGACACAAGCCTAACCACAAACACAGGGCTCACTGAGCTGGGGAAGGACCCGAGATCTTTTCACTGCTGCCTGTCTGGGAGATGATTGTAACTCCATCATCAAAGGGCATAAAGGAGCCACTCTGGAAATCATGTCTAATGGCAGATTAGCAAATACTGGAAAAGGGTAAGCTTTAAAATTGACCAAACCAACATTATTACGTTAAGAATAAAATTTGAAATAAGAAGTACATCTATGTAATATTAAATTTCTGTTTATTACGAGCTAACAAATCATAACATTATTCTGGTTTAGAGTTACTGAGAAGTCTCTCCAAAGCTATGCTGCAGGAACCAAGGTGAGATACCTTGAACAAACCCCCTGCTCCTTTTAGAGACACAGAATACCACAGCAGATTTCCAAAATTATCTTCAAAAGTGGTATACCAAAACAGAATTATTATTATTATTATTACTATCTTGCAGCACTTTTCAATGCATAAAGACACTCATTGTTATTCATTTAAGACTATTAATGTGCTTACTTTATTTTTTTTTTTTTTAAAGCTGCTTGTTCTCCTAAGTCTTTATAAAAACTGTACGCTGTTGCAATGGCTGAAGGCACTTAATTTGAGTTGAGTATTACAGGCAATACTGTTACTTTCTTTTCTTAACACCACCTAATTGTGGAGATTTTCAGAGATGCACAAAACTAGGTAGCTGAGTCATCCACGTCACTGCCAGTAATTACTCACAA